AGACCGCTAATACGTAGTATGAAAGCTGTGTACTGTATATTTGACAGTATTAGACAGCCTTTCAACCACTTTAATTGTTGCTGTGACAGCATAATACATTTGACATTGAGAATAGGATTGATACACCACATAAAGGGAGCCACTGCGTATGTTTAAGGCTCTTCATACATTAGCATAGATAATTTATCATGCACTCAAAGGTTTTTCGTTTTACTGGGTCGTAGACCACAAGGAGAGCTCTTTAACGGTTCATTATAGTAATGTTTGCTACCTCATGATTTTTACTTTATTCATACACAGGTGATCAGTGTATCTTTTCTCACTCTCATGTCATTCCAAACTTTTCTTCTGTGGAGCACAAAAACTTTTTTTTTTTCTCCAGATAATGAAAGTCAGCGGGGTCCAGTGTTGTTGGAGAAAAACATTTCTTCTGTTTAAACAGTAAACAAATGTTCAAATTACACTCTTCGGCCACTTTATTAGGTGCACTTGTTCAACTGCTCGTTAGTGCAAATATCTTGTCAGCCAATCACTTGGCAGCAACTGGAGACACGGTCAAGAAGATCTGCTGAAAAACCAAGCATCAGAATGGGGAAGAAAGGTGGCTTTGAATATGGCACGGTTGTTGGTGCCAGATGGGCTGGTCTGAGTATTTCAGAAACTGCTGATCTACTGGGATTTTTATATACAACCATTTCTAGGGTCCATTTCCAGATCTTTGGGATGTGGTGGAACGGGAGATTTGGATCATGGATGTGCAGCTGACAAATCTGCAGCAACTGTATGATGTTATCATGTCAATATGAACCAGAATCTCAGAGGAATGCTTCCAGCACCTTGTTGAATCTATGCCATGAAGAATTAAGGAAGTTCTGAAGGCAAAAGGGGGTCCAGCCTGGTACTAGCAAGGTGTACCTAATAAAGTGGCCGGTGAGCGTATCTTCTTCAGTGTTCCATATAAAAAAATAAGTTCATACAGGTTTGGAACAACATGTGGATGAAAAAATGATGACCGAAATTTCATTTTTGGGAGAACTATCTTTTATATATTTGTACTGATTGTCTTATCTATCTATTTTTCTGTTTGTGTTAAAAAACCATGAAGACAACAAACTTAGTGAGATGTTTTCAAATCCCACTAGGTTGTGCTATAATAAGCAAATTTCCGTTTTCGCACATAACTCTACCAAACAAAAATTAATAATTGTCCTTCATTCATAGTACATAGTTAAAGCATGCCAATATATATAATAACAAGGACAAATTTGTCAGTTCACATCCTGAATGTTACATATGTTTTAAAATCAGAGTTTATTCAATCAGTAAAACATTACTGTCATCATAAGAATCACAGTTGTTGAGCTGGTCTCACCTGCAAACAGGTCTCCTGGTGTGATTTTTTCAACATAAATAACAGAAAATAAAGGCAGGTCGGCCTGACTCATGCCGGCTCAGCTCAAATCTGGACCATTACCCAGTGATTCAACACATTCAGCATTGCTGAGAGACAGTGGAACAGAGCCAATGGGTTTTATGAGGATACATCTCGCAAGTGTTGTCAGGACAATCCCGTCTGCGATAAGTACTCGTATCGTCCATTTTCTCACCGCGTGATTGGAATTTCATATTTCCGTCCTTCACATACAAATGGAAATATTGCACGTCCAAACACATTCGCATCTCGCCGTTCATAACATCGAGCCAGGAGTCACCCAGCCTGCAAATTGCCCGTGGAAAATTCTTGTTTGCTTGACTATTATGCATGCCACATCCTATTCAGACCTTTGTGTTGGCCGTATCCCCTGCATGCACAATTTCAGCCACGAGACTATGACATTTCCAAAACCCGTCTGCAATCGGTCACGGCGCACGAAATCCCTGAAATATTTTCATCAGGCGATGCGTCTCCCAGCATCTACATTCAGAGACATTATCCTGTCCTTGATGTTTTATCATTAGTTGGGAAGTGTTTGGGCTCCTACTGAGATCTTTTGATGGAGCACAGACAATAAAGTGATGGAGACAGCCAGCCCATTTTGCCTGCTGCGACTGTTCCCCAGCAAGGCGCCTGAGTATCTGTGCTAAAAAGTGGAATGATAGTCACATAGTACAATAGCTTGGCCGCATTTGCCAGCGCTCCATTATTCCACTGATTGTGCGATGGCTGTATCCAATATGACTGTGTGTTTATTAATAAATGATTCTCATAATGTAATTTTCTCTTTCTCCCGTTTCCATACTCGCCGCATGATAGGAAAGCTGCCTGAAAGATTTGAATCAAGTCGAGTGGACCTTTTTGGTTTTCTGCACTGCACGTAAATCCCATTTGCTTTTCGGATGCAAACTTTAGGACTGACCATCCGAGCGGTGAAATCGGATCCGTTTGTTTTGGCCTTGTAAGTCAATATCTGCTACATCTACATCAGTTGCTGTAGTAATGATGTATGCGTCAGCAAGATGCCGTGAAACTTTCTCATACAACATCTGAGTGCAGCTGTCAGAGAGGACGGGAAACGGAAATTTTGCCTCTGCTCACGTCCATCACTGCATCTCACCGCAGAGCTGAAATCACAAGGCACATTCATGCAAATACTGCTGATTTATTCGCTCATTCATTATACAGTGCATTCGGACACAGCTGCAGACTGTATTGCACACTTTTGTGTGACGTTACATACACAGTGTGTCGGAAAACGCCGATCGGATGCGTTCCAAAAAAGTCTGATTTTAATCGGATTGGATGGGGTTTAGATCACTTTGTAAACATCGGATTTCATGTGGTGTTTTTTCCGCTGTTCAGTCTACAAACAAAACAACTAAACGGATTTGAGTCAGATATGCCAAAACATCGGATTTTTGCTGCCTGTCTGAACAAAGCCTTTGGCACAGTGTGTTTTGTTTAATTACACGGCTTGTGTCAGCCAGTGTCATGCCCATTGAAATGCAAGCTTTATACTATTGCTTGGACGTCTAATTCTATATCACTTAAGCTGCCGTTTTCTATTATTGCAGGTAGTAAGCCCATTATTTCAATTCAAGTCATTTTCTTTACATGTTTCTTACATTACATTTGATCAAATATCTATAGCTGGCCAATTTGCCTTCAGCTGTTTCAATAACACTCTTTTGCAAGATAATGCTTCACAGTCAGACATGCAATTTCATGTAAAAGCAAAATAACAGGCCATTTTTCATTTCAATCAAGGATATTTATGAGCTATTGTCTGAATTAAGCCCCCTTTACATTTGGACATTCTTTAGTGTATTATAGTATTATATTGTATTATAGTATATCTCAAGTGTGATTTAATAAAAGTCAGCCTGCAATTACCCACATAAAATGGAAAGCACAACTTATATATTACATCAGAGGTTACACAAACTGAGCATGTTCCATGTTTTACCAAATATCAAAGACATTAACGGATAGGCTAGTTTAAAACATTGTATGTCTTTTTGACAGATTTAAAAAAGGGAAAGTCACTTTATAGAGCTGAACAGTAGGGTTTTAGGGAGAGTTTAGGATCATTTATTTTTGATTATATCAAAAAAATTACATAATTATATTTAATTACAAATTAATTCCACATTTAATTACTCTCAAAATAAATGAATACTTTTATTTAGCAAGGATGCATTAGATTTATTAAAAATGACCGTAAAGTGACTTTTAAATTTCAATTTCGAATAATAATAAACGTAATAATAAAATGTTCATTGAGAACTAAAATCAGCATATTATAATGATTTCTGAAGGATCATGTGACATTGAAAACTGGAGTGATGATGCTGAAAATTCAGCTTCCTCTTCAGGAACTCGAGCTGCGTCAGAAAACGCTAGGGGAACGCCCTTCAGCGTGACCGGCTCTGAACCTCGTGTGTAATCAGACCAATAGATGGGCGCGCTTGCTTCATTCCTGGAAGCTGACGCTGGTCTCACCGCACAAGCTTTTGTAGCCTCCTGGTCATTACGTCACCCGCCCCGTGACGTCTCGCCCATCTATTGGTCTGATTACACACGAGGTTCAGAGCCGGTCACGCTGAAGGGCGTTCCCCTAGCGTTTTCCGACGCAGCGTCTCGTTCCTTCGAGGAACTATGGTTACATACGTAACCTGAGACGTTTTCCATGACAGGAATAAATTACATTTAAAATTTTACTTGTAAAATTAAAGTTGTAATAATACTTCACAATATTACTGTTTTATTGTATTTTTGACCATATAAATGCAGCTTTAGTGAGCACAAGAGACTTCAAAAATGTAACACATCATGCTAAATTGGTTTGTAGTTTATTCCCTCATTAAAGCCATTAAGTACACATTCTTGTACATTTCCCTTTTTGTCCAGTTTTCAAATACATTTTTGTTTCAATTCAGACTTTGTAATGTTTTGATTAATCTCAGAGCTGGTTGGTTTGGTTCACGTCTTTGAACTCTTTGATGAAGATTAAAAAAAAAAATCCCTATGGAAAAAAAATGAATGGAAAAAATATTTCCAGAACCAAGACGGCTTAACAAGTGGGCAGGCACTGTTGCTCTCTATTGCATTTCCCTGCTTTAGAAACATTCCCACAGTAAAAGGATGCTAATAAGGCTTACAAGTGAAGAAAATGGGAGACAATAAAGTTTTGAATTGCCCCTGTGAGGATCTGGAAAGAGAAACAGGATATTGTTCATTAAATTAGATGACCAGATCATAAGACCTGATAAAAGAACAGCATGTTGGAAAATGTACAAATCATTCCATCAAAATGACAGACATTGATCTGTTATTATGCAGGCAAGTTTTGGAAAACAAGACTTTAAGTAAAGATTTTTGCCCAGTAAATGTAGTCAGGTTTATGGTATGATGACAAAAATGTTCCCAGGTGTAAAGGGGGCTTTGGTAAAGAGATGTTCCTCTTTCTTTCAAATATCTCTATCATACTAACATGATGGCTTTTGTGACTTCTCTCCTTCATTTAATACCTCTTATGTGTGTTTTCATTTTCTCCATCTAGATGTTCTCACCACAACCCCCCCACCCACCACTACCACCATCAACGCTTTCCAAGGTACAGTATCCCATCTGAGCTGCAGGGTTCTCACTCCATCTCACCCTTTTTTACATTTTTCCTGTGTCCTGCTGTGCTTGTGCATCAGTGTATGTGCGTGTGAGAGAGTGTAAGTATGCCGCTGATGCATGTTACTGTCCATGAGCTAAAAAAGACAGCGGGAAGAGGGTAAAGTGCAGGGGCTCGTGCAGAGACGGGCGGGCCGCCCTAATAAGATCTCGACGCAGATAGTGGACTCGGTGGCCTCGCGGCGCCTCGCCGTCATTGTCACTTGTCAGGTTGTGCTTGTCAAATCCTTTTCTGTCACTCGCTTGATCTTTCACCGTAGAGATTCATTTTGGAGCGAAAATCTTATCAGGATCTCGGCGTGTCTGTGCCTCAGATTACGATTACAAATATCCTCGGCCTTCCATAAGAATGACATTAACACATCCTTGAAATGATCTGATGAAACACACACTGTAAAAAAAAATATTTTTAAAGTTGTAAATAAAAACAAAGATTGCAGTTCCCTGCATCATAATTGCTGAATGAAATCCAATGCTAATTATGGGGTGCTGATTCCAAAAATAGTGTCTCATTTGCTCACAAAGTATGATGCATTTTGTAGCAGTTTTGCTTTCGACAATTATTTGTAAGCTGAACAAATCTTGTTTTATCACTTAATAACCAGAAAAATTGCCACAAACACGATTCCTATCATTTTCAGCTGATTTTTAGGTTTACAGTATAAATGATTCTGAAGAGGTTATCTTATGCCTCATCCTGATTTCAAGGGCAGAATTGTGGCCAGTAATGGAAGAAAATACAAATGTGCTACATCTGTGGATGTTTCACTACATCCAAACAGTAACTGAAAATGACAGATTTTGTGAAAAAGCTTGTTTAGTAAAGTTCTTTGACCGTAAATGGAGTATTTGAGCATATTTTTCCATTCCTATTGTAAGGTAAATTATATATTTTGAATATCTTTTTTGTCATCAAACTTTTGACATTGGATTGATTTTGATATTTTAATCAGTGCATTAAAGCTGATATATTATATAGATTTATGTATATAATATATCAGCTAAGATAGATAGATAGATAGACTAGCAATTTCTGAGTGAAACATTTTTCTACATCTAATTTTCATTAGTGTATCAACCATGAATTATCGTGTTTTTTCATAAATGTTGTTGTCATTTATCGTTATCAATTTTCCAGTAGCTGTTTTATTCTGATCCTAATGAGGTTTTCTTGAGCTCTTAAAAATACTCTACCAATCCATGTTTTTTAACATGCAAAGGAAAGCTCAGGACAAGGAATTCCCAGCAAATAAATCAATGGCAGGTAATTGGTGCTATATAGAAATGTAATACATTTTTGATGAGCTAGCAAAGAGTGAGAAAGGATAGGGTTGCACTCTACTATCAAAAAAATCAATTAAGCCATAATGTCTTGCCGAAATGCTCAGTAGCTTTAAGGGGTGACATTTAGAGATGATTACCATTTATAACACAAAATAAATGGCTAAATGGAAGCACCGATAGTGGCACCTTTAACAGATGCCACACTTTCTCTTCTTTCGCAAAATCGTCATGCACGGCGAGTAGGAGCGTGATAGTGTCAGCCTTTCAGAGGAATCATCTATGCTCAGGACTTTTCTGTGATCATCAGGCTGAACTAAGTCATGTCTGGTTTTCGCTTGGAAGAGCCATTCTTGTGTTCCTTCCCGGGCCTAACTTCTCCACATGCAGAGTAAGCATGTAAGAAGTTTATTGGTGTAACCGTCTTAACCTCGGATTACCGTTCGAGCAGAACTTGCTTTCAAGCAGACACGGCGGGTAATCCACTCACGGTGAGTACAGGAGAACTCGGGGGACCTGCTAGACATCTGAAACAGTCACAATTTTATCTGATATGAAGTCTGGTCTTTAGGGCCCGTGGACGGCTACGGTTGGAGAAACGTGACCCTGGGTCCTGCGCATTTAGTCTGTGGGTGTGAGGGGTCGGCTCAAGGGGATTGGAGCTGCTGTGGATCAGCGATTAATATTGATAGGAGAGTGAGTGCCAAGCTGGTTTCTGTGACGGGGCAAAAAAAGTGTGCCATCCAAGTGGATATATTGTATGAACGCATATGGGTCAGCCTCACAGCATTATGGTATTACATATGGTTGATTGTATACTGATTTTACATTATAAAAGCAGCACATTATTTTTGTTTTCTATTTTTTAGCCAAGTAGAGGCTGGAAAGTAATGAAGCAGCCTGTTCACATTATATATGTATATATGTATATGTACAGGTGCATCTCAATAAATTAGAATGTCGTGGAAATTAATACTGTGTTTTTACCTGAATGATCCACAGCTGTGTTTTTTATGTTTAGTGATAGTTGTTCATGAGTCCCTTGGTTGTCCTGAACAGTTAAACTGCCTGCTGTTCTTCAGAAAAATCCTTCAGGTCCCACAAATTCTTTGGTTTTCCAGCATTTTTGAGTATTTGAGCCCTTTCCAACAATGACTGTATGATTTTGAGATCCATCTTTTCACACTGAGGACAACTGAGGGACTATTACAGAAGGTTAAAATGCTCACTGATGCTCCAGAAGGAAAAACAATGCATTAAGAGCAGAAGGGTGAAAACTTTTTGAATTTGAAGATCAGTGTAAATGTAACTTATTTTGTCTTCTGGGAAACATGTAAGTATCTTCTGTAGCTTCTGAAGGGCAGTACTAAAAAAAAAAAGATATTTAGACAAAATAAGAAAAATATACACATCTTCATTCTGTTCAAAAGCTTTCACCCCCCCCGGCTCTTAATGCATCGTTTTTCTTTCTGGAGCATCAGTGATCGTTTGAACCTTCTGCAATGGTTGCATATGAGATTTTTATTTTAAGTAAGCGCTGTTCTTTTTGAACTTTCTTGACAAAAATAATTACAGTTTCCACAAAAACATGACACAGCACAAATGTTTTCAACATTGATAATCAGAAGAAATGTTTCTTGAGTAGCAAATCAGCATATTATAATGATTTCTGAAGGATCGTGTGACACTGAAGACTGCAGTAATGATAAAAATATTTCTGTTTTGATCAAATAAATGCAGCCTCGACTTAAAAAAATCATTAAAAAAAACATTTAAAAATCTTACCAACCCCAAACTTTTGAACAGTAGTGTACTTCTTACTATTATAAAGATATTTTTACTTTCATAACCTCACCTATACCCTCACCACTTTTTTTTTTAAATAGTAGAAAAAGTATTAAATTGAATAGACTTGGAATATAATGCACAAATAAAATGCATTACAGTTATTATCATTTTATGCTGTGCTTGTAATGTATTTAAACGGTAATGTAACCTTACGAATATATTTAGTCATATAAATATAATGCAAATCGATATGTATCTTGCTCAAAATTGCTGAAACGTTTGTAATAATAAAATGCTTCAGTGAGAGTGCAGTTATATTTTGTCTTTACTAAACTGCCCAAAATAACAGAACTGTCTCCATCAGAGGTGCTACTGCACCCACACTTGTTCTTGACATCCCATTCTTGTGGGAGGGTTTCTCAAGATTTGCGCTACACCACTGACTTGGCCTGCGAGTTTAGTCTATGAGTATGAGAGGTCGTCAGCATTATTTGATTTCGAGGGGATTGAATCTGCCATGGATCAGAGATTAATATTGATAGGTGCAAGTGTGTGCCAAGCTGGTTTCCGTGAAAGGGCAAAAAGTGTACCATCCAACTGGATATATGGACGCACTGCTGGGTATTGATGAAATATAAAACAATGAATACAGCTGAGCTCTAGATCAGGTGCGCCGCAGGGCGGGTCCATATTTTATAAGATGGTGTCAAGTTAGAGCAGAAAACTGCTTCTAGATGTGAATGCACATACTCATCAGCATCTGTAGATGTTTTTCTCCTCTCGTTATCCGGTATCGCCACCTCAAACTTCCCTGTCCTAGAAATCTCCTCCATGAATCTCCCAAACAATCCAATTAAGAGCGGAACGTGAAGACAGATAGCTGGACGCATCCGATTGTTGACTCAGTCACTTTGAGAAGCTTTGTTTTTGCAGCGGGATGACGCAGACATTTAAAGGTTACCAGATTTGCTTTTAAACCCTTTGAACAGACAAAAGATGATGTGTCCTTGCTCCATATGCAGACATCAGCAATGTTTTCCTATATAATGAGTTCCTCCTCAGAAATTTTTCAAGGCCTATCCAATATGTCCTGGCTGAGCTCACTGTGCCTGCAGGTAAAGCGGAGGGTGCTGGGCTCATGGATCTGTCTGCTGAGCGTCATTTATGCAGCTCTGCGTGGGAATGATGGAGTTGCTGCCGGCCAAACAACACACTGAAGACTTTGTGTATCATTAGTCTTAAAACAAGCTCTCCAGCTTCGGCTGTGATTTAATTTGTCACCGCGAATGTATTGCGTTCCTTCCCACCTTACAATCTTCTTTCACAACACAATGCCAGGGAGGGCTAATTTTAGACCATTCTTACTGTTTGTTGACTTGAGGCACATAGCATCTTGTTTTCTAGCATTGTTGTCAGCTGCATTTATAATATGTAAGCTTTTGGCTCTTTAGCTGACTTAAGCCTGATGCACGCTTTACGGTTTTGGAGACAAACTGTGGGATTCGTAAAACGATGGCAGAATAGGCAGCCTTTGATCGTGACTCCCTCACCGATGATTGCGAAACATTGTAGGATAGGCTGATTCTGTTAATCTGATTATTTCCGATTCGTTTTTGATTTGATTCTGATTCTTCTGTGCATACATCAGTTATAATGAATTATAGTTAATCTTGCTTACATAGGGAAAAAATTCTCTCTCAGCTGTTTTTTTAATTATTCAAAGAACCTTTACATTTAACTAATTAACTATTTTATAAAAATTAACAACAGGGCCCAAACAATGCATTCAATTTCTGTTTAACAGATTAAACCAACAACTGCTCATTCAACCAAATGAAGTAAACTTTAAATTGCATTTCTGAT